AACGAAATTTAAGGTCTTCACAGGAGCAACAACGAAGAAAAGAAAAAGTGAGAGAGAGAAGAGAAGAGAAGAGAATACGAAAGATTTCTGATATACAGCCTCAAAGTCGATTATCAGCAAAAGGGAGATCATAGTAAGATCAACTCAGTGAATCCCGCGGTCGCTTCCTATGAAATGCTACGAAGCATGTCGGCGATAAAAATGAATCTTTACTTTGAGAGCCTTACATAGACGAAGATTAATATTCTCCTGTACCGTATTGTAAAATAGAAATTTGTAGAAATTACTACCGCTAAGTCAGTTAAGTAGACATTTCTCGTTAACCGGCAACATCGACGAGCCTTCAGGGCAAGGTGTAGCGTACGTATGGGACTTCCACGTCGTTACCATCGGAGTCGTTACAGCAGAGTTCGAATACCAAAGCGCGTACGTGCGGCTCCAGCTTCTTTTTCGACACCTTCTTAACTACCTCCGACATCAACAGTCCCATGCGCTCTTGACACTTCGGTTTCGCCATGAAGAACGAGTACAGCATGCATACACCCTGCGACAGCATGGTGACCTCCAGATTATGATGCTCCTTGAAGTAGTCCAAGAACTCCTTGAGCGTCAGCTCTCCCTTCACCTCGAACCGATCCCACAGAGTCCATTCTGTGTCGTAGTACTTCAATTTCGGCGCGGCGATGGGCTCGGAGAATCCGAAGAACGGCAGCGCCAAGTTCACGAAACCGTTCTTGTACACGGACAAGTCTCTAACGCCGCGCGTCAGCTTGATCAATTCGAGGCATACCAAGCCAGCCACGACGGACGTGGTGGTCGCGATCGCCGGTATTATTTTGCCGGCGATGAGTTTGCTCTTATGCCTATCGGCGGGCGGGATTTTGTAGTTGGTAGCGCGGAGATTTGAAGCGGCCACGATGAAATCTATGTGGAAGTTGGTGTCGTCGTCCTTCTCGAACTCCTGAGGATAGATCACTAAACCGTTCAGCTCGTCGATCTTCGGGAGCTCCTCTTGCAGCTGGTTCAGTCTCTCGTGGTCCACGTTGCCACTGCCGTTGGATACTTGAACCTGCGAGTCCGTCTCGGGAATCTTCACGCCGGACTTCGGCGTGAAGTCTGGCACCTTGACGGTACTGACGATCCTAGCGATTTCCTCGCGATTCCTGTTTGTAGGGATTCCGTAGACCTTCGCCTTCAGGTTAGCGGCAGCTACGATGTAGTCTAAATGCAGCGGATCGTTGACACTGAACGCGAGCGGTTCGGGGCACCTCTTAGGCCCGGACCAGAACGGCTGACCGGTCGATGTTACCTGATCAGGCGGGAAATTGAAGAGAAGCTGTCTAATCTGATTGCTATATTGTTCCTGCCAATGACAACGAGCCCATGCGATGCAATCGGCGAACGTTTTTGGTCTCTCGTCAACCAGTGCTGTTTTCACGGATTCTAATACTTCTAACGGCTGTACACCGGGCAGTTTCAACGTTCTGTCCACGAACTGTGAATCAGAAATGTATTGAGCGGCGTTCTCCGCGGCCTGGCGGAACAAGCCTTCGAAATTGTCTCTGGCCCATTGCAGAGTGTGCTCTATAGCGTTAGGGAAATTCTTTAACGTACAGATCGGTATACTCTTCTCTGGCGGATCTTGCGACGAACTGTACGATTCGGTTAAAAATGGAACAACAACTTGTGTGTTACCTTTCGTACCTAGAGTACCCGATTCCAACAGGGGCTTTCTATAATACACACAACGACGATCCATATAAATACGAGCGTTAACGTTATCTAAAGCGTTCGCCACACCGTCCAGAACTTCGAAGAAGTCATCGTTATAGATTTTCTCTGTTTCCGGGCATACTCTGTTCTCGTGAGCTATTACTTTCATGTCTGGATTCATACCTTTGATGACTCTAGCGGCTGTCGATGATTTCGACTGTTGGACGTCGTATGGCCTGAACAAGAATTGCCTATTCAAGTTTGATTTCTCTATCAGATCCATGTCGGTGATCGTGACACTACCGTTCTGTGCACCGACACCCAACATAGCGAAATTCTTTAGCAATTCACAACCGATAGCTCCCGCTCCTACAACAAAGTATTTCAAGTTACCAATCTTTGCCTGAAATTTGCGACCAAACACGGCGGTTTGGGAGTCGTAACGGGATCCGTTGGGGCAGCAATCCTCTTCTGTGAGCTCAGAGCGATCTGCGGGTAAACATTCAATTGCATCGAAGTACAACCACTGATAGATGGGGTGAAACTTTCCAGAACAAGCTTTCATTACTTCTTGAGCTACGATTCCTCCAATTGTAGCATTCATTGGATTTAAATTACCAGAAGATATCTTTGCAAATGTCTCGAACAGTTCTGTATTAATTTCAGTTTCACTTCCCATTTCCTCTTTCACTGTATTAGCTAGAGCCAAAAATTCTTTTGCATCTTCTTGATTCCATGGCCTTGGCAGCTTTCCTTTTGTTTCTTGATAACGGTGCAACACCATGAAAGCCAAATGTATCTGCTCTGGATAATCGAACTTTCCAAAATCTGTAACCTGGAACTCTGGTTTCTTCAGAGCATCCTTTAGAACGTTGAAGTGTAGACTCTTTGGCATCTTGACTTGAGTTACTATACCACCACGTATATACTCAGAATACTTAGATGTGTCTCCAATGCTGAAGGTATACGGACCAAGAACTTTGATTTTTATCGGGTCACAACCATTCAGCTCTGTCATTCCCTGTACTTCGGAAAATGTGACATAGTCACCATCCTCCATGCCGTGACGTGTATCGTCTAGGCATGTTACAACACCCTCAGCATCTTGAGAAATGCTGGCAACCATTGCACTTACAGGTGGTTCACCATTAGTGTCGACTACAGTGAACGAATTCCCAAAATCACAGAATACTTGAGAAAATAGGCCTCTGGTATCTGCTATAATAAGTGCTATGTCATTTGCATGTGTAATCTCAGATATACGTAATTGTTCGGGAAGTGAAGCTTCAGTCAATACGACAACTTTGAATTTCTTAATGTAAGAGTCAGTTAAAGGCCCAGTGTGATGACGAGTGGGAACATAATTATTTAACTCTGACAAGCGTTGGCAACAGGCAACAGCTCGATTTTTACCTGAAAGACAAACAAAAGAAAAGAAATTTTAATTCTCTAGTTACAAAACCTACAAATGAATAAATATGTACAATTAAAATAAAATAAATAATTGGGCTAGGTATGTACTAATACTTTAATTATTTACAATCTCTTGCATCAACCGATGCAATAAAATCTTCCACTGATGAAAGAAGTTCTGAAATGATAATCCAAAAATGTAATGACTCCACTGTATATAAGAATGAGTCACTTTTTGACTGTGGAATTTAACATTTGCATAAAAAATAACACAACAGTATAGAAAATATGAAATTCCTTAACGTATTATAAGGAATGACCAGCAAGTACAACAATTGAAAATACAATATACATATATAATATTCATTGAGCTCTTATCATCAGAACCATCGCATAGCATCCTTCCACGTTGCGACAATAGTTATTCTACATATTCCTACAACAAGACCTAACTTTCCAATTGTAGCAGCTATAACTTGTGCCGCATACAATGCTTTTCCCATAGTTTACATTCGATCGAAACAACAATGTACCTCTGAAACAAAACTACCAATATATACCTAGTTTCGAACAATTATTCTCAGCATTGCAGACGGACTGTATCATTGAAGAATCATAAAATCGTACTCTTCCACAGCATTAACCA